GGTCGAGGCAGAGGTAAGCAATTTAGCCGGCTTTTGAGGAGGGCTCGGAGGCATCCGCAGGGGACTCAGAGTCAGAGGGGAGTGGGTGTAACTGGCATTAGGATAGGCCATTTTACGCTTTTTTGGTCGAGCACTTAGTTCCTGTTTCTCACGCTGCAGCGTACGGATATTCTCCTGTAGAAATATAAATTGCAATTGTTAAGCAAAAGCATGTGCATGGAAGGGGGCCAGATTTTTTTAGTGGATCATTTTGCCCTACCTTGAGGCGGCTTATTTCTTCCTCAGCAGAATCCTGGTACTTCAGTAAACGTTCGCGACTGCTGGTTTCCATATCGAGAATCTCAGACTTGAGATCCGAAATGGTCTGATTTTTCTTCAACAGTTCGGCATCCTTCAGTTGGAGTTGACGTTTTAGTGCTTTAATGTCGTCCTGAAGTTGGCCAATAGTTAGAATGTGCTCATCGTATGCGGAATCCATACTGTGGGTAAAAGTAGCAAGAAAATGAGTTTAAGTTAACGTATGTATACTACTGTAAGTAATAATTAGTAGATGTTTCTTACAACTTTGGTTAATATATACCTGTAAGCGTGCGCACTTGTTGGTCTTGACGACACAGAGTGATGAGTCGTATAATCCTCAGTTCTTTGTCGTTTAACGGCACTGAGGCTGTGAAAAAAGACGAGTTTGAGAAAGCCTGATATGAATAATAAACGGACTTATCTGTCTAAAACCTCTGCGAAAACGCAAAAAACAACTCTTCGACCGACATAGGCTGAATTTAGCAAGGCTATTTTATTCATACAAGTTAGTAGGTGTTTTAAAGAGAAAAAACGGGAAACAAAAATCCATTAAGTGAATGATAGTAACAGAGCACAACGTTCTCTTTTCCTAAGCTAATGAGAGCAAGCAACGATAGACTGTTTGTAAAACAAGTTTACGCTCTCTGGCAGACAAACGGCTGTAATGTGCAGAAGAGTCCCCGAAAGCTTTATCGTATTTTGTCCATCAAAAATTTTCCTTTGGCGGTGGTTTCCTCGACTTCTTTCAGACTGTTATTTTCGTTTACAACATGTTTTCTACTCATAGCTTTCTCTTTCATAGTTTATCCAACGTAATTGAACGGGAGTTCACGCATACGTGGGCATGGATTTCGAATAAATCCCCACTAAATACTAATTAATTGGACGATCTCATTAAAAACCACGATTCAGGCATGGGATTCAGGCTGTGGGATTAAGCGCTTGCCTGTGAGCAGAGTTCTGATTGAATACGTACATATTCTCTAGCCCTCAGCTATCTGTAGAGCGGATAGCATTGTTTCTCGCCTTGAAACTCTTTAGCGTCTCTGATGGCATCATCATCGCAAAGGTTCGACTATCGCAGTCAATGACGTTCACATTACCGGTGAATCGTGTAAATTAGTTTACACTGAGGCAGACTTTCGCCACATCTATCTCAGTCTGTCATCCTTCATCCATTTGGCTTCAATTACAAGGCAACGCCAACAAAACCGAAAGTGCGCACAGATGCACTAGCTGAG